AGCAACTTAAATGTGCATGCACGCCATACATCGTCAAAATGACAAAAGTGAACAACTCTACCCCGATTTTGTTCCCTTTCTACAGATCATGTCAAAAACGGCAGTTTTGTCCATTAATGACTCCCCTGAAACGACCGGCTCGAAATCTTAAAAGTCAGAGCCCATTATTAAACCCACCCCCCTCTTCTTCTTGTTCTTCTTCTTTTTCTTCTTCTTCTTCCTTTTCCGACACGCGGGAGTGTTGGTTGAGGCCGGCAGAGAATCAGAGGAGGTGTAATTGAGGGGGCGGTGAGGGGAGAGAGCCTGAAAGCTGCTATTAAAGCCAAATGGACTCAACAACAGCGTCACCAAGCAAACGACCGCGACCAACAGCTGGCCCACCAAACCCGGACTGTACATGCACGCGCACGCACACATCGATCGTCCCGCACGGCACTCCAGGGCGTCCTTTATATTTCAGCGCAAATTAACGCGATTATTAGACTCGTGAACGAACCTTTGAGTCCTTCCACCACCCCCCACCCAAAAAAAAAAAAAAATGGACGCCACCTATTCTAAAAACAAAGTGCCTGCTGCAGCCAAAAGCCACTCGGCGCCACACCTGCGCATTCTTTCTTTCTTATCAAGCTGATTGTGGCTGCAGCGATGATTCCCTATTAGAATATGGAAGAGTTGTTTCCGCGACCAACAGCTGGCCCACCAAACCCGGACTGTACATGCACGCGCACGCACACATCGATCGTCCCGCACGGCACTCCAGGGCGTCCTTTATATTTCAGCGCAAATTAACGCGATTATTAGACTCGTGAACGAACCTTTGAGTCCTTCCACCACCCCCCCCCCAAAAAAAAAAAAAATGGACGCCACCTATTCTAAAAACAAAGTGCCTGCTGCAGCCAAAAGCCACTCGGCGCCACACCTGCGCATTCTTTCTTTCTTATCAAGCTGATTGTGGCTGCAGCGATGATTCCCTATTAGAATATGGAAGAGTTGTTTCCATTGGATTAAAGGGCTTCTCAGGCGAGTCAATGAATATGTAATGAGTGGCATGGAAATCGGCCACTGTCTCCCCCCCTTCCCCCTGCGTGTATAGTTTACATTTGGAAATAGAAATAAGATAAATATATCCATTGGATGGCTCTTCTGCAGAGGCTCAAAATGCGGAGTTTCGGGGGGAGAAAGGCTGCATGCAGTCTGAGTCTGGAGGTGCGTGCGGTGATGATGATGATGATGATGATGCATTTCCATGTTTGAACTGCTTTGGAAATATTGCTGGTGACGGGCAGTGGATTGAATTGATAAGGCATGAGTGGGCGAGGGAGGAGGTGAGAGAAGAAAGAGCGTCCCTGCACTGCTGCTTGTTCAAGATATTTTCCCTTCGTAGGGCCGATAAAACATTGATTGTTGCAGTTAGTTGACCCGTAAAATTTGGGGGTTACCTTCCTCCTCGGAGCTGAGCATACCATTATGCAAATAGTGATGTGACAGTGATCCGCACTAGTGTGTGTCAGTGTGTGTGTGTGTGTGTCAGAGGGGTGACATTCCAACTGCCTGGTTCCTTTGGCGGGAGTTCATTTTAAGAGGGGCTGGTGAGCAGCACTTCACACACACACACACACACACACACACACACACACACACACACACACACACACACACACACGCGCACGCACGCGCACGCACGCACGCGCGAACTCACGGAGGGCCAGTGCAGTGCAGGCAAGCGTGACAACAACTCTCTCAACGGGACGAAACAATTGAAATATCAAACAAGTAGAAAAGTTTTCCATGTCAAGGAGTCCTCCACGGGTTCACACTGTGAATGAAACACAGGCGTTGCACTTAAAGGAGTCACATGAAGATTAAATGAGGCGTCGTTTTTAATGCAGGGATTAAGACCTGACAACTTGACGTGGTAATAAATCGAGCCAAAATGCGGCACCACATCGAATGCATTTTTAGAACTGATTGTCATAAGGTAGTAAAATGAAGCGTGTGTGTGTATGTGTGTGTAAGGCGCAATTTTGAAGACTTTTACCTGTTGGACTGTAATTAATAGAAACGGGGAGTTTCAAGAAAACAAAAAATTCTGCCTCGCAGACAAAAATGAGGGTCATGAAAAATATTTTATTTACATTTCGCCTCGTTTTTCTAGGAAAGCTGGAAGCAAATGTATTATTTATGCATTTATTCACCCGCCACATGTGTATCACACACGCAAAAGAAGAAAATGCAAACGTTTGTCGTGTTATAATGACCTATTTGGAATTTGAATGGCTTTAGAGTACCATTCGGAAAACTTAAATATTAGCCAAGTTAAAAAAAAAAAAGAACTACATGTCTAATTGTACAACAGTAAATAAAGGTCATCATATTTCCCGCAATAACACAAATATGTTTATGGATTGACGAAAAAAACAACTTGAAACAAGTTTAAAACAAGTCAAAACCTTCATTCAGCTATGACAAATTGAATAAGCAATGTGCAAAACTTTATTTGCATTTAAAAGTCATTCTTACAGTTATTGTCATTAATTGAATCAGCGTAGGGTACAAATACGAACTTTGAAAGAACTTGGGAAACATTCTAACTATTAAAGAGAAGTGAAAGAAAAATTATAAATACACAGACCTTTCATCAAATCCAAACAAAAATGCAGGTATTTTATTCAAGGAATACAAAGACCCAAGTATGAAAAATAACGTCTTGAAGAGAAATTGGCAAAATAAAAACCCCTTTTATTTCTTTGCAGACGCTGCTTTGGATTCCGGCCGCTCTTTCATCTCCACTTCGATCTTCCTTTGGCTTGTTATTAGAAGCACCGAGCCTTGTTTGTTCCCTCAAGGCAACAATATACAATTATGGAGAGGAGGAAAATGAGCAGATTTTGCCCCTGAAATACAGAAAGATGAGCAACGCTATCTGGAAACCAAAATCATCCAATCAAATAATAAGCAAATCATTTTTTTTCTTTTTTTTTGTGCTGAAACCAGGAGAGATGGGAATCAAATTAAAAGGAAATTAGGCCTTGAAACCATCAGCCACAGTTGTCTCATTACAGCACAAAGATAATCCTCAAAAGCATTAAGCCACACACACATTTACACACCCACGGAATGGGCGTGGGGGGGGAGAAATAGGATTTCACAGCTCAAAGTTAAACAATAGTCACGGTGTGAAGTGAAGGGGGAATAAGGGGAAAGTACATATTTAAGAAAGTGTCTGAGGTATCACGAGATTTGCCATTGGCTTGGAGATTTGGCACTAATGTCGCCACTTTAAGAAGCGTATCCCGTTAAGCCTTGAGTGGTTTATGAAACTTAAAAAAAAACAAAACGTCATCATGTTTGTGTCACATACCCGAGATTATGCGCGACTGAGCAGCCGGTTGTCACGTTTAAGAACACTAGTGAAGGACTTTTGGTGGTGGGGAGGAAGAAAAAAAAATAGATACGTTATACTTTTCTCTAACATCATTCAGGCTTAGAATAATATTGAGATCTTGGATTTCCTGACATGTGTCATCTATTCAGGCTTTGTGAGTGTTGAGAGCTGATTTAGGGCTCCTGTTCAAATGCGATGTCCCTTAAATCCATTTGATGCTCGACTTTAAGTGATTCTTAAAATGTGCTCGCTGACCCGCATTTTAGGTACTCGGCGCAGATTGGGTTGGTTTTGTTTGGATTGGCGCGCATTCAATCACTTGGAGGTATCCAGTCTAAACATACAGTGCAATGAAAAAGTAGTTGCCCTCGTCTCAAATGTACCCACTTTTTTTTGTTTGAGATCATCAAACAAACGTGAATGACAAAGATAACCCAAATAAACATAAAACACAGCAAGAATAAAAACGACTAAAAATGCTTTCCCCCTATAACTGGTTGGGCCACCCTCAGGGGCAACAACTGAAACCAAACATTTCGTCGAAATGGCAAGGAGTCTTTCACCATATTTTGGCCCACTCTTCCTTCCAGAATTGCTTTAATTCAGCAGGACTGGAGGGTTTTTGAGCATCAATGACCTTTCTCAAGGCCACGCCACAGCATTTCAATTAGATTCAAGTCTTTTGACGAGGCCACTCCAAAACAGTCATTTAAAATAAATGCTTGATATTACCACAAGTTTTTCATTCTTTGCGCGGAGGTGAACACAACCAACACCAATAGATGAGCTCTAGCAAACCATGATGGAAAAATTTGGCATTTACGGTGGAAAACATGCCTACAGAATCTATTTATTAGTCAAGTAAATCGTGACTTTGCAAAATTAAGTGTTTTTTAAAATCTAATTCTGAGAAAAGGCTGTGACAAAAAACTCCATAACTTGTCTTGAAGTGCGCCCGGGTGTGGGATGATAGCTTTCCAATAACATTTTCGAAATCTTCCCAGTCTTTTGACACATAGGCACTTTCAGGCTATGAACTGAGGCCAAACATCCTCCCTCAGGATATTCTGGTAAAGAGCAGAATTCATGCTTCCATCAATCACATAACAAGTTGTCAAGGTCCTGAAGTAACAAAGCAGCCACAGACCAGCACACTACCGTCGCCATATTTGACTGTTGGGATGATGTTCTTGTAGGCCGGATGTAACAAAGCAAAGACCTTCCAAAATGTTCAAGTCTCAAAGAGCTTTGAATATATATATTTTTTCTTCAAATAAATCAAACCACAATTTAAAAACTGCATTTTATGTTCATGTGTGTTGTCTTTGTCTGACATTTACATGTTTGATGGGCTTAAAAATAAATTGGGGAAATTATGCAGAGAACAAATATTTTTTTTCACAGCACTGAATGAAGGCAAGAGGAATTGGTGCATAAGTAAACAGGGTGCCTCAAAATTGAGCTCGGTAAATGAGTTTAAAAAAATTGTGTGCATAGGAGGGCGACAATGAAATCATAAAAACAACACGACAAATGGTCAAGACACTTCCCACAAACAATTAAAGCGAGCTAAAAAACAAAATAAAAAAAAGAAACAGTTTAACAACTCTGACTGCAGGGCGGTTGATGTGAGGTGTACCACAGGGCACTGTATCAATCCTGAGTCAGCTTAGGCTATCCAACCCTTGGAAAGCACAAATACCCCCACACATATTACTTTGACAATTACGCTCATTTAGAAGCAAAACAAAATGTTATTGTGATGTACACAACGCTGAACTGAACTCTCTTCTCTTACCAAAACAAAAACAACAGAAATAGGTTGGTGTGTAAAGTCAGAACGGAGAAATAACACGCGGGGAATGGAACAAGGAGGTCAGCAAAGCTAGAAAACAACCCAAGTCCTTAGCCTCCTTCATCTGTAACCCCCACTGTACACTCTACACTATCGCTCCAATTAAGTCGCCGTCGTTATTGCTGTTTCACAAATCTTGGTGTTTGCCTTTGAGAGAGCTGCTGCGCGTGGTAACAGTGTTGGATGTCTCCTCTGCCTCCTCGTCCTCTTTCGCCTCCGCGACCTCGCCGAAGAACTTAAAGATGGAGTTAAAACTCATCCAGGAGGTCAACTCGTGCCGTTCTGTGCCTACAGAGATGACACACAAAAACACGGATGCACGCTTTAGCAGAAGAAAACTAAGATCCAAGTCGAACTTCATGCAACTGGACCAAAAGCCTTCCCAAAGTACTGCACACAGAAGGCTTTGTTCTCTCTCAAATGTTGCTCACAAATCTGCCAAAACTTATGTTAGCAAGCATTTCTTTTTTGATGAGATAATTCATCCACCTCACAGTTGTGGCTTATCAAGGTGCTGATTCGACAGCATGATTAGTGCACAGGTGTGCCTCAGGCTGCCCACAGCGGAATGGAAAATGTGAGATTGGGGGCAGCCTAAGGCCCACTGCCAAATTTTCTGACTACCCTGGACAAATATACAGTAAAGCACATTTTGGGATAGCTTGTTTATTGTGGACAATCTTTAAGGCACACCTGTGCAATAATTATGGTGTCTTTAGTAAGCATCATTATCGACCACTCCTTTTTTTTTTTTTTGGCTAAGGAGAAGTGCGAGTAACTAATATGTAACATAACTCTTTAACCCTTTCAGGTACTGAAAGGTTAAACATCAACGTAGCAAAATTGCAACGACCAACATTTACACTATGCCTTTATCTCTTACCATTTTCAAGCTCCATCCTTTTGAAACAGTGATATCCAACCTGAATATTTTATTGAAAAAAAAATAACTGTGGCGCCTAAGGGTTAATAGGTTATCCAAGCAGATAGCTGATAATCAACACCATTGCTCGGTCTTCTTTCCATTTCAGGCCTTCCAAACAAAACCGGCGTTATGCACAAAGGATGCACTAAGCAAAACCAGTGGAGCGGTTATGCTTCATTCTAAAAAGTCGATTGAGGGAAGTGGAGGTAGAAGCGGGAAGAGGTGGCTGAGGGGGTATATCAGGTGGGCTGGTCGTCTACTCGTGCCGGGTTTCTCTACGACCTTTTCCAGGTTAGCCAGTTCCCAAGTTGGGGTCAGGCTGCATTTTGAAATCTAGTACATTCACCTCAAGGTCCCCCAGGGTGACTTATGTTTCTTCTAAGCGAGTGATTGTTGCAACAGAAAACCTTTGCGGGCAAACATTTGAGATTTGGATGTTGTATGGCGGCAGTGAAATCAACTCAGCAAGAAGCAGTTGGGCAAGTGGTAGGGCTGAGCCATTTTGAAAAATGATCAAAGCCTCTACTTTCTCAAGAGCATTTTGAAACAGTAATACATGCCTTCGCCCCATCCCGGGTGGATTACTATAATGCACTTTGGAGTCAGCCAGTCCTCCATTAAGCGTCTCCAGTTGGTCTATAATGCTGCTGCTTGCCTCTTGACTGGTACTCGTAAGAGGGAGCACATAATTCCTACTCTGGCATCCCTTCACTGGCTCCCTATACATTTAGAGTTTTTTTTAAGATCCTATTATTTGTTTTCAAATCTTGAAATGGCCCCGCCCCACCTTAACTCTTTGACCTCCTTCGCTCCTACGCACCTGCCCGGTGAAAATCAACTCATATTACTGCCGCTTACCAAAGTTAGTTGGAATAAATTCAACTCGTATCTCGCGGCACCACCACAAATGGAATCAATATTGCTCTGTCTTCTCCATGCTGGTTGCGAGTGTTCTCATTTTGTATTTGTGTTTTTGACGCGTTCAATAAATGTTTGAGACTGTTACCGTCCTTTCTTTTTTACTTCATTCTTCTTCAAATTTGAGCAAACAGGGACAGTAGTGAACCAAAGTAACACCGTCCAAATAAGTTTACCACTGAAATATGAAAACAGTGAAACAAAGTAAAGAAACGCGTAGGAGAAAGGTGAATGGTGCCGCAACGCAGCTCAGATTTTAATACCCATAATTGTCACAGAAGTATGAAGTGCTTATTTATTTATTTTTTTTTTTGTATGGTTACCTACTAAAGCGCCACACACACACACACACACACAGACAGAATAACCTTCAGGCTAGAAATTGAAACTTCTTTGTGACTACCTGTAACTGAACTTGAGAAGACTCCTTTTCTTCTTTTTATATATTTATTTTTTTTACCTCCCACTAGGAGATTAAATTTTTCAGAGAGCAGATATTAAGACTTTTGTGTTTACAGACAGAGGAATGAGTGAACACATCCCTGGAAGTGATGCATTTTCTTTTCTTTTTTTTTTTTATTTTTTTTATCTGCATACTTAAGACTTCTTTTTTGTCCGTACCTGTATTTGTTTGCGACGATAAGAATATTGAAAGAGGCTCTCCTAATTTTCTACGGCGGATTAAAAAAAGGATAAGCTTCGTATCTAAAATCAGTTCGTGAGCGGGAAAAAATGTGGAAAACTGCAACCTTGCTTTCCCACTTTCTCCTTCCTCTCTCGCCTACTCCTCTCCACCGTGTACAGGAGATTGGCTATAAAAAGACAGACTAGAAGGCCGCGGGGATACAATTAGGCAGCAACCTTAAAGGCTCTCTCATCGTCGCCAGGCCTCGGATGACCACTGTGCTGACCCCATGTTTATTAGATTGACCTCTGCCTGGACGCATTATTAGCGATGTCGTGCGTGCTTGTGTGTGTACAAGACGCGGAGAGCTCGGGCGTCAACTTCGGCGGTTTCTGCGAGTGTCTGTTCCAAGGTGTGTTGTGTGGAAGAGTTGGAGAGGGAGGCGGTTGGTGGATCGAAGTCGGCACCTTGGGTCAAGTTTAGCGCTCTGACAATCATGAGAGCAAATAAGCCGACATTCTCGGCGAGTGTGCTCCCTGAGCGGGGCTCCCTTTAACATGCGCCTCTGGAAAAGCCAAACACAACCTCCTCACACTGCTTATCTATCATTTATATCCAATTTGAGGCCAAAATGTTCCTCTCACATTACTTTTGACTTGTGTTTTGTTCCCCCCTTTTTTTTATCCCTACAGCACAAACCGATCAATGCCCCGGCGCTCTACCGTTCACCCTGAACTGCCGGTGAACTCCCGCGGAACGCCGGCAGGCTCTCCACCCCGATCCCATCGGTTTGAGGGTCACCAGGGGGGCGTCGCTGTGCCAATATGCAGATGAGCCCATGCCCCTCCGATGACTCTGGCCTGAAGCCCCGCCCCTCTCTCTGCCGGCGGCTTTGAATCGAGGGTCGACCCCCCTGACAACAACCTGCTCCGACACACGAAATAGGCCTTTAACAGCGTAAGCACACCCTTCCATTAGTTGCCAAAGTGTGTCGCACCTAATGGATGTTGTCAGAGATGCGATGTGATCACTGATTTACAGGTGGGGAAGCCCAATGGCCGGTCTTCATGAGCCACTGAAGACGGAAAGTGTGGCGGTGGTGAGAAGGAGGAGGAGAGGGATTACCTCAGCGACGGCACAAATCAAATTAATATCTTTAAAAGATGTGGGGATCAATGAGGTGTCACCCAGCTATACACCGCGAGTGTAAAGTGACCCCCATAAACAGGACGGCACTACGTTTTAGCAGCGGACTGAAAATGTTGATCAAGAGATAAGTGGATTTATTGACGAGCAATTCAACTAAAACACTACTAAATAAAATCAGTCATTTGAAATATTTGGACAGATGTTTTGGGAACTAAAGCTCCTTGTCTCTTTTTTCCCCCCAACCCCTTACCACAATTATTATAACTACATTAGTCTGTCAAAGTTCAAGATATGTGCAATATTATGCAAAAATACCAATAATATAATATATAATATATAACATAATGTGGGAGTGAGAACCAAACACTGGTGACTGTCATTTGATAAAAAAAAAAAAAAAAAAAGACATTTTATACATATAGATAGATCGATCGATCGATCGACCGATAGATAGATGGAACGATACCAACGATGATGGCTGCTGCAACAATGAGTGTTGAACAAACCTCAGCCTGCGCAATTTGCAATTCAGCCACGCAAAACTTTAGAGGTGTGAAGTGCAACAGGCACAAGGAAAGATGCCACTGGTCTTTTATTTTTTGCAGCTTTGACAAAAGAAGAACAGCAGAAGAGCAGAAAAAAAAAATCAGCAAAAGTTACGTGCTCGGTGGCTTTATCACTTGCAAATGGTCGCTCTTTGCAGAGGATGAAGAATAGATGTGGACATTAATAATGTGAATAAAATGTATGCCACGCCATCTGTGTTGAGACTTCGTGGAACATTGTCTTTCAACTTAACACTGAGTATTTGTTTTCATTATCAACACATCAGAATGTTAAAAATGATACGTTAAAATTGTGCCTTTATCGTTTTTGAATGACATTTTCACTGACAATAACAACCAACCAAGAGACAAAATATAGACGACAAAATTTACTTCAACACTTTGACGACAAGTATCTGCGATATTAGCATATCAGGATAGCAGCTCTTCAACTTGACGCGTTTTACACTCTACGTGTGTTGCCTCAAAACGCCTGGCTTCTTTGTTTTTGAGCCTATTACGCGTGTGTGCGTGTGCGCATGCGTGCGCGTGTGCGTGTGAGCAGGCTGTATCACTTTAGCCACAGCCACACTGCGTATCTGATCCCTGATATTTAGCCCCGTCTTCTGTCACAGCCACTGAAGACCTCTCAGGGTAATTGACTGACTGTTTGATCCCCCACGTCTCCACAGCTATACGGCGATTTGCCACTTGCAAGCATTTCCTCACGCATGGCGCCCCACACACACACACGCGCGCGCGCGCTCGCCCTGTACCCTCCTCTCCCTAACAAACGCACACAGTTGTTATCGTTTGTGTGCAGCGGGGAAAGGGAACAAGAGAGGAGGAGAGCTGTTAAAAAGGAAACACAGAAACTCCTCCATAGCTATGGGCCATGCTTTCTTCCCCGCGCGGCGTTTTTGCCGCATGCTGTTACAAATGGTAATCTGCTCTGATTGTCACCAATTTCAAAACAAACGCTAGGTGACTGAAAAGCCAAAGTGACGCCCCGAGTGACACTCCCGACAGAAAGCCTGAATCAAAGCCTGCCGACTATAATTAGGTTCCATCTGGGCGACATTATTTAAAGTTGCAACAGTTAATTGCTTGTGTACAAATGGCCCATTTTATTTGAATCAAACTGTTTTATTTTTTTTTTCCCAGTGATTCGTAATTACACTGATGCAAAGAGGGGCCATATCTCCGTAAAACACTTCTTTTGAGGACTTTGGGACACGGGGAATGTCACGTGGTGAGCTTCTTCACAAGGTGAATTACATTTCTTGAAACAATTAATAAACCGCCTCGACATGCGGGTTAAGCATTTCATGAAGTCCAATTTAAACAAAGGAGTTGGCAAATGATTTAATCACAGCAAGAGTAGAAATGACCAAAATGGAGTAGCCCGAAAAGGGCAGATGATATTAAAACATGCAGACGCAAACATTTTCTCATTTCCTTTTTGATCCAAATGGAGCACAAACAAAGCGTTTTTTTTTATCAATTTCCTCACGACGGTAACCTAAGCTTTTGTTTTATCTCGGTGTGGGGGGCCGGGCAGCGCATTTCGGAGCGGGCCCTCGCTGGATGTAACCTTAGCCGGGCCGCTGTTTGTGGAAACTATCTGTTGCATGGATCAGCGGCGGGGAATCGCTATCTGTATCCTGGTTGTCAGACGGTCGGATTTCCGCCGCTGACGCGCTCTGATATTAAACGATCATCCGTGGTGTATGTGCGGGGAAGGCATGTGTGCGCAGTGCCATTTTGCGTAGTTTTTTTTTTTTTGCTCGCAGACACACAGAAAGGTCAAGAATGTCGTTTGGCCCCCGTGAGGCCGTGGGCCATGTTGCCACTGGAGATGAGGTCAAAGGGAGCCCGGCCGGGCAGGTGACAGCTGCTCAGTCGCACTGCCGCAGAAACTCGGTCGTCTCAGAGAAAACACGCAAACGTTGTCTTCACTCCGAAAGCTAATTAAATCCAAAGATCACAATTTCCACTCAGGGTGAAGACATCCACAACAGACATGCTCTTCATCGGGGGTTTGTTTACACCATACCTGGGTATGCATCTCATTAAAAAAATAAAAAAAATCAATACAGCGCTAAGGTTCAACACTTTTACAATAACAAGAAAGACAGAAAATGTTGAAGAAAACCAAGTAGACATCTATCAAAACAGAGCTTACGGCTCCTTCCTCTTGAATGCAAATCATTTTTAATGCGAGTCAGTTAAGTGGGGTCTGCGTTTCCCCTTCATACCGCTTTTAATTACTTGTCTTATTATTGTGTGCTGTTGTTGGACAAAAACAAGGCAGAACTCATTAAATGCCTCGAGATGAGGAACCTGAATCGCTCGCTACAGGGGACTCACTTGGAATTAAAAAAATAAATAAATAAACAGGAGGGACAAACATTGAGAGAAAGCAGAATGTCAGTGAAATCACAAGCGGCTTTGTATTCAATTTCCAGGAGAAAGAAGTACAACTCAGTCAAATAACAAAAGTAGCCAAGTGAAAACATTAAAGGAGGTCGAAAGTAATCCACAAAGAAGCGCAGTGGTGTTCTTTCTTTGGACCCCCCCCCCCTCCCTCCAGCTCACCTAGCCTTCCCTCCTTGACTCCTGCCACCCAGACACTGAGTGTTTTTTTTTTTTTTAAATTTATTGACGTGAATAAGTGGCCCTGGCTTTCAAAAAGGACCCTCACTTTTCTAGACTTGCAGCAGACAAGTTACAAGATAACCTCAACCCAAGGACAGCGCGGGCTATTTGATCGCAGTGCCAAACCCTGCCCTCTTCTGTTCGCTGGAAAACGAAAGGCCGCACGCGCTCTGGCCTTGACAGCATCGCTCTGTGTCAGTTGCTTTATTCGGCGCCGTGCAGAGGGGACGAGATGCTTCAAAGCAAAAGGGAGAAAGCGCTCTTAAGTCACATTTTATGGGTGGCACTTCATGGTGACGTCATCCTTCAGAATAACAAAGTAATTGCGTAGTACAAATTGAAATGTGCTTAGGCGGCACAGTGTGGAAGTGGTTAGCATGTCTGCCTCTCAACTCTAAGGCCGGGGATCAAATCTCAGCTCCGGCCCTCCTGTTCTCCCT